AAAGGCCATGAGAGTGGGTAAGGTCCGGACCTCTGGGGGTAGCTGCTCCGACCCTGATTCCACAGGGTCGGAGCAGCCACAGAGAAGGCTCTCCTCAAAGGGCCCGCCAGCCGACACTGTCCGGCTGACGGTATCCGAAGGAGGCCCACCCTGTGGGATCTTATTGGCCGTTGGGAGGTGTATGGCAGTAGGCGGTCTTGCAGATAGGCTGGTCCTAAGCCATGTAGGGCTTTAAAGTTGCAGGTTTTGTTTCCTTTCTGGGCCAGAGTTCTTCAAAGGTTGAAAACAGACCAGATTCAAATCCATCTGTCCCTGCAGGGCCCAGTGCAGCCCCCATCCTGCAGCTGCTTCCAGGAGAGGCTCCTGGAACTCTTCCGTCCCTGCAGCTGCCAGTTCTTGGAGAGTCTCCAAGAAGATTCCTCCAAGCTCCCCAAGGCCCTTAACCAGTTGACCCCGGGTTCCTCCTCGCCCCCACAAGTGCCTGGTATCAAACAGAACCCACAACTTCCCCGCCTCCGAGTAACTGGGCATCCCACTGCTTTTTGTGAGCCTAGCGGGCTGCATCCACAGGCAGGATTGAGGAGGTCTTTGGAGCATCATAGCCTCACCGACATGACACCTACCGTATTCCAGTCCGGTGATACAAGGCTGCCCATGGCAAGTTCAAGAAGGTGCCATTCTCTTCAGTCGCTGTAGTCTGTGGAAAATGATCTCTGTCTCAGAAGTAGCAACCCACTTTGAGGAATGTGTGACTGTCTCTGCTGGGAGACTCATCGGCTTCCTTGTGCAGGTAGCCGGCTGCTGTGAACACTGGCTGCTCAATGAGGAGGGCCAGAGAAGCTGAGCCAGCTTCTCTGCATACTGCTAAAACCCTTGTGTCTGTAACCTTTACCTGGATGAAACCATACGAACTGAAATTTGGCAAATTTTACAAAATATTTTATAAATTTATGACATGGCATAAAATGTCATAAACGTTTCCTCTGCTGATGTTTGGCTACACTATACACTTCAGCGGTGGCTGCTTTTAAGGCAGAAACAGTCTCTGAAAGTACCCCTGAATTTTGAAGAACTTTCCCAGGGCATTAGAAGCTCTGCCATTGTTGAAAGCCCTGAGAAGGAAATCTCTCTGAAACCACCATTCAGGATTTGGTTTGTTCTTACGGACAGCTCAGGGGGCTGAGAAGGTGGGAACTTGCAGAAATTCATTTCATTTCATTCATTTCATTAATTAGTTTTGTATGTCACCCGCTCTCGGAAGACTCCGGGCGGCTTACAATAAAAAGGGAGGGGGGAACATATAAGACAATACAACAATTTAAAAGTACATCAA